TCTTCCCCCATAATCACATAAGAATAACAGGTCTCTCAGTAAAGCATGTCAGAAAATGGAACTCCCGTCTAGTCAAAACCTCTGTTTTCACCCCACAGGCAAAAAAAACCCCCCTGTTCTTCTCACAAAGGGAATTCCAGGAAGAAAAAAAAGGCATGTTGAGAGACCAAAACAGATTTGCCTGCTTCCTGGGTGCCCATCTGGAACAAGCTTGTCATGTTCATTGTTTTTCCTCGGGGTGGGCAGTGAAACCAGCGGCAGCTGTCCAGCTCGGCGCTGGTAAAGCAAAGAGCTGGGGACCTCCTGCGCCACAGTTCCCTCTTCCCTGCCAAGCGCCAGGTGCCCTGGGGAAGGGTGGGATTGAAGGAAGCTGTAAGGAGGTCAGAAGCGAGAGCAGCCAGAAAATCATGGCTTGTCTTCCCAATAGCAGAGCTTGGTCATTTCTACAGAAAGGGCATTTCTTCCAGGATATCATTCTAATATAAAATTTCCCATCAGATAACCCTAGCAGAACTGGGTTTTCCTGACTGCTTTGTGTCAGTGTGGGAGGGAACACATAGAAACTCACCTCCACGGTGATATGGGACAGACAGATCTGTCACAGAGAGTTAGGGATTTTCAGAGTTGCAAAAAAGGACTGAGAGATCCAGGTCCCCCTGAAATCTGTTGCCCTGTGTATCTTGTTTCAGTGATACATCTCTGGAACTACAAGTATTCAGCCGGCTTGAACATTTCCAGTAAATACCTCGAAAAACACCATCTGGGATTCTCCTTTTTGATTTCCCTTTCCTTCCTTTCACCGCACTCTGCAGATGTTCCAGTCTGGAAGGAGTGAGCGGGGCCGCATCCGCAACCCAGCCTCAGTGCCTGCCTGACCTTCCGATCCAAAATGTTAACACCCAACTGAGGATCCATCTTTTCCTTTCTTTTCCATTGTCGTGTTTGATATGTCTCAGTGATTCTTCCTAGATGGGCACAGCAGTCACATTCTGCTTTCAACTCTACTCGGATTCTTCACTGAGGAGCGGCTCTGTGAACCCTGCTGCTTTCATTCCCGCCCCTGGCCATCTCCGGCATTCTCCCGATACACAGTGCCCTGCTTTCTTGTTGTTCGACTGAAGAACCAACTCAGGTATGCAGAAGCCTTTGAAGAAGACGAGTGAAAAGATTTCTTTAAATAACTGTGGCTTAGATCAGGAGAGGCAAACAGATGAGATTTGGGGCTTCCTGCTAGCTCAGTGGTGACGGGCTCATGCTTTGTCCTGCATTCCCCTAGCTGCCTGTCACCAGTTTTCCAGCCATTTCCTGGAAAGCAACCAACTGATTGTGTTCCCACTTTGCTATGGCTATAAACAATGACAAACTTGGCTCATCTGGCACCGCTCTGCTGAGCCTTATCTGGACCCCATTGCAACCCCTGATGAAGAAACTCCGTCCTGCCCAACTCTTTGTGTGTGTGCTGTAAATACCTGAAGATACGTTTTGTATGAGTAAAGTGCCATGGAGGCTGTGACTTCCCTACTATTGCTTCTGGCAGCCTCATGCCAATTCTCCATAACTCGCTCTGGCAAGCTGGCAGCTTCCAGCATCTGAAAGCCAAAAATAGGAAAGGGCATTTGCAGGGCGGTGATATGATGTGTGCTTGGCTTTAAAAAGGATCACAAACTTAAGGCAGTGGAGAGCAAAAAGGCATACCAGTATCACCATGGATATGTGACATTAAACAAACCACTTGTCATGATACACAGCTGACTACTTGCCAAATGGAACAGGATCTTCTTATTATTCATTGTTTTGCCCTGCAAAACCTGCACAACCGCGAGAAGGAAAAATCTCCAGAAAGGTACTGTCACTTTTCTGACCATCCCTGGCCAGACTGGAGGTCCTGGGTCAACGGTAAGTCCCAGCCGTCCACCTACTCACATGCATTTGAAGGCCAAAACGTGAAATCATGGTGGGCACCCTACTTAATCGCTGCAGGAAACAGGGCTGCGGGATGAGGTCACTTCCTTGAGGTAACTCTGACACTTGTAAAGCTTCCTGTCCTCCCATGGCTTTGATTCCATCCCTGCTGTCCCCCACAGCTGGGGTGTCAGCCGGGTATTTTTCCGGCGTCTTATATGTGCCCACCCACTGCCGCCTGCCCGCGTGGCTTTGCTAAGGATTGTACCAGCCATGCAGGGAATTACCCTTCTCCTCTCTGCCACACCTCGCTGCACCCAGGAACCCAGCTCTGCCTCCACCTCAGCAGATGATGAGGTGGAGCTAACCCTCCTTTTGGTTTGGTTTCACCTTCATAGTTCACTGCGGCCAGGTAAGGGCCCACCCAAAAGGGGGCAAGAGGGCTACCACATGGACAGCATCCTGAAGCATCCCATTCGCCCTCGCCTGTGCCTCCCCAAGGAGGACCTCCTGCACCGCTGCATCCTTGTGGAGTGCGTGGAGGAGCAGAAACCCCATCTCAGCCTACATGATGGCTGCTTTGACCTCAGAAGAGGAGCACACAATTCCTCCTGTCCGGGGAGGGTGTCCTGTCTACCGCTGCCCCCTTGACGTTCCCGTGGGCAGCTGAAAGGGGGAAAGCAGAGAGGGGGAACAAAAAGCCAGGCGAAGGCACTATTGAAAATAGGCCACCATCCCGCGCTTCCCTGCAGCAGGCCTCCCCTGGCCCCTCAGCGCTTGCCTGCTATTTCAGCACGGCCACCCTTCGGAGAGGAGCTGGTGGATCTGGAGCAAGAGACAGGAGCGCCGGTCCCGGGGGGGGTTGCACACGCGTGGCGCTGCCGGGGCGGTGCTGCGAGGCAGGGCGCTGCCGCACACGGGGGAGCGATAGGGGACGTGCCCATCC